ATTCAGAAATCCAAAATCTGAAATGCTCCAAAATCCAACACTTCTGAAAACTGATGTGATGCTAAAAAGAAGTGCTCACTGGAGCATTTTGGATTTTAAATTTTTCAGATTTGGGATGCTAAACCAGTACATCTACTGCAAATATTCCACAATTGAAAAGAAGTTAGAAATCCAAAACACTTGGTTTTAAGCTTTCTGCATAAGGAACACTTTATCTGTATGAACTATAGGCATGAAGCTGTACGGGAGATCTCTAGGTCCTCCTCATCCTGCCTAACTGAAACTGCACACTCACAGAACAATGCCCTATTTCCCAGACCCCAGCTCCTGGAAACTACTGTTCTACTCTCTGATTCACTCTGGAATCCACTGAGATGAGGTACATAGAGTAGTCAAACTCATAGAATCAGAGAGTAGAATGTCTAACGAGAGAAAGTATCTGCAACACTTCTTCCCAAATATTGGTCTATGTCCACCAAACACATACGGACCATGAGGGCCAGACTTCTGTCATCAGTTCATGTTCGCCCTTTCCACCTGTCAGTTCTGCATTTTCAAACTTCCCCATGTATTTCTAGAAAGAGCCACATAGTCCTCACCTGCCCTCTACAGGGAGAAGGGAACATCATGGACAGAGAACAGGGAACATGGTCTTGTTCCAAAGCTATCAGAGCTTGCATGTCCCCTTCACTCCTTGTACATCATTCCTTGGACTCTGCTCTATCTTTAGAGGTCATTGGCTCAAGTCAGTCACTATGAGACAGCTGGGAAAGTGCCACAACTTGTAGCTCCACTCCCTGATGACTGAACTGACCTCCAGGCTTGACTCTGGTCTCCCCTGTGTTATTTCTGCTGAAGTACTCAGTCCCAGGCCAGGCTTGCCAGTACCCAAAGGGTTTAAGGACATTGGGAAGTTCCATCATCCATCTCTAGGATATCCTTGGAAGGGGAAGCTGAAGAGAAAACATACCCTAGGGGGCAAAGTAAGACTGAAACTAAAAAGATTCCAGCACTACATGCTCCAGGTGAGGACCACAGGGTGGGCTAGGCAGGCAGTTGGAGAGGGAGAGACTCAGAGAGGCACCAGGGGCTGTGACTGCTGGTCCCATGTTTTTCCATGACCCAATGCTGCTGCTCAATTCACATTTGGGAAAGTCTGTGCTTCTCCCACATACAGAAGGCAGCCTCACAATCTCTGAGCCCTCAGATTGCCATGCATCTGTCTTGTAACACACACACCTGCCATGGACTTTTAGGGACATGGGTGTGCTGAGAGGTAGGAAATGCCAACTCTGATTGAAAAATGTCTTAGGAGGAATCAAATGTGCCGCACAGTGCAATCTTCTCTCTGTTATCTCCACAGTGGAGACTCCCAAGCCCTCCATCTCCAGCAGTAATTTAAACCCCAAGGAGGCCACGGAGACTGTGGTCTTATCCTGTGATCCTGACACTCCGAACGCAAGCTACCTGTGGTGGATAAATGGTCAGAGCGTCCCTATCAGTCCTAGGTTGCAGCTGTCTGAAAACAACAGGACCCTCATTCTATTTGGTGTCACACAGTGTACTGCAGGACCCTATGAATGTGAAATGAAGAGCCCAGTGAGTTCCAGCCGCAGCGACCCAGTCACCCTGAATCCCGTCTGTGAGTATCTTCTGTTCCTCTGTGAGCCAGGCTGCCATCTCAAATACATATGGCCAGAGGCCAGGCCTCCCAGTCCCTCTCAGGGGCAAGTACAAAGACCTTTACCCCTGCACATCAAAGCTGGCCATGACTACAAAGAGTAGGCTTCAGCTTGATCAACAATGGGAGAGAAGAGGCTGCTCCTGTCACAGGAGACTCAGGGTCCACAGCTTATGATGGGAGAAACAGGTGAATGTCTCAGGCTCCAGAACAGTGAACACAGCAAGGATTTGGCTGGGATTTCAGTGTTGTGACTAGGCTCACAGGGTCACTGTGGCCTTTCCGCAGACCAGGATTTTCCCTTCCCTCTGACAACATCAGCTGTGACTTTATTCTCTTTGCTCCAGATGGCCTAGATACCCCCACCATTTCTTCTTCATACACCTATTACCATCCAGGGGAAGTCCCCAAGCTCTCCTGCCTCACAGACTCTCACCCACTGCCAGAGCTTTCTTGGCTGATTGATGGGAAATTCCAGTAATCCAGATAAAGAACAAAGTGTTCTTTATCCCCCAAATCACTAAAACATATGGAGGGGTCTATGTCTGTTTCATGCACAACTCAGCCACTGGTGGAACAAATCTCATAATCCAGAGGATCATAATCCCTGGTAAGTGGATCCCTGGAGCATTGCCAATACGTTTTCCAGTGAAGTCTCTCTGGCTATCAGGGAAGAGCCACCTGTCCTCTGCAAAGGGAGAGGGAAAATCAAAAACCCAGGACAGGGAATATGTTTCTGCTCCAAAACCACCAGCTTTTGCCTGTACCCTTCACTCCTTCCACATCATTCTTTAGACTATACAGTAATAATGAACAATCTGAAAGGAAATTAAGAAAAGAATTTCCAATCACATTAACATCAAAAGGAATAAAATATTTTGGAATAAGTTTAACCAAAAAGGTCTAAGGGTTATATCATGAAAACTACAAAACATTACTGAAAGAAATTAAAGACGACATCATTATATGGAAACACAATTCACTTTCACGGATTGGAAGAATCAATATTGTTAGGAGGACAATATTACTCAAAGTGAGCTGCAGATTCAACACAAGTCCTACCAGAATCCCAGTAACATTTTTTGCAGAATTACAAAAATCTGTCCTAAATCTGACCTGACAGGCTCTTAATTGATGACTGCTACAACAGAGACATTGAGGAAAAGATGCAACCATGAAAAGGTGGAAAGTGTTGATGACATAGAAAATAGCAATCATTATTTCTCACATCCCAAAACCTTCAAAAATATACAAGTGCAGCATGGCTAGTATGGAATTGACCAAAAACTAATCACCAAGCTAGAAACATGGTGAGAGAGAGAAAAAGGACAAGAACGTATTTGGCCTATCACTTCCCATTTTTGCGTACTAATCTGATGCTGAAAAGAAATGCTTACTGGAGCATTATAGATGTTGAATCTTTCAGATTTGGGATGTTAAACCAGTAAGTATGTGACAAATATTTCAGAATCAAAAAATGTCAGAAATCCAAAACACTTTTTGTCCTAAGTCTTATGCATAAGAAATGCTCAATCTGTGTGAACTATAGGCATCAAGCTGTATATAATATCTTGCATAACTGATACTGCACACCCATGACCAACTTCTGATTCTTCCCACTCCCAGCTCCTGGCAACCAGCAGTCTCTTCTCAGATTCACTCTGGAATCCACTTCCATGAGGTCCCTAGAGTAGTCAAACCCATGGAATCGGAGAGTAGAGAGTACAATAAAAGAAAATATTTCCAAAACTTCTCCCAAAATTTGTCTCATTTCCATCAAACACACATGGTCCAATGAGGACCAGATTTCTAGCAGTTCATTCCCACCCTTTCCATCAGTCAGTTCTGCATTTGCAAATGTCCACATGTATTTCTGGAAGGATCCACATAGTCCTCACCTGCCCTCTGCAGAAGGAGAGGAAACTTAAAGATCCCAGAACATGGAATATGGTTCTGCTCCAAAGCCACCAGCAACTTGCCTGTCCCCTTCACTCTTTCTAGATCATTCCTTGCACTCTGCTCTATCTTTGGAGGTCACTGGCTCAAGTAAGTCATCATGAAACACCTGCAGAAAACTGCCCCACCTTGTGCCTCCACTGCCTGATGACTGAACTGACCTCCAGGCTTGACTCTGGTCTCCCCTGTCTTATTTCTGCTGAAACATCCAGTCCCAGGCCATGCTGCTCAGTATCTTCAGGGTTTCAGGACAATGGGAAGTCCCATTATTACTCATCTCTAGAATGTCCTTGGAAATGGAAGAGGCAGAGAAATCACATCTAAGGGGGCAAAGTAGGATGGAATTTGGAAGGGGCACAGCAGTTGCACATTCCAGGTAAGGAACCCAAGGTGACCCAGCCAGTCAGTACCAGGGGCTGTGACTCCCACTGACGTGTCTGTTCATGACTCAACACTGCTGCTCAATTCACACTTGAGAAAGTCTGTGCTTCCCTAAGACAGAGCAGGTGGCCTCACAGTCTTTGAGTCCTTAGATCACTGTGCATCTGTCTTGTGACACACGCACCAGTTATTGGCTTTCAAGGACTCAGGTGGGCTGAAAGGTGGGAGATGCCAACTCTGACTGAAGGATGCCTGTGGAGGAATCAAAGGTGCCACACGGGACAAACTTCTCTCTGTTATCCACACAGCGGAGCTGCCCAAACCCTACATCACCAGCAACAACTTCAACCCCATGGAGAATGAGAATGTTGTAGCCTTAACCTGTGAACCTAAGACTCAGGGTTACACCTACTTGTGGAGGGTAAATGGTCAGAGCCTCCCGGTCAGTTCCAGGCTAAAGCAACCTGGTAAAAACAGGATCCTCATTGTACCCAATGTCACAAGGAATGACACAGGACCCTATGAATGTGAAATATGGGACCGAGTTGGTAGCATCCCCAATGACCCAATCACCCTGGATGTCCTTTGTATCTTTGGTTCCTCTGTGGGCCAGGCCACCAGCTAAAATCCAAACGACCAGAGGCCAGGCATCTCAGTCTCTCTCAGGTCCAAGTGCAGACACTTTTATTTCTGGACACCAGGGCTGGTAATGACTCCCTGCCCTGGGAAAACCTGAGTAGGCACAGCCTTAACCAAGAATATAAAGGGAGAAATTCTCTTGTCATGGGAGACTTGGGGTCTACAGGCTGTGATGGGAGAAACAGGCGAATACCTCAGGCCTCGGCTCAGTGAACACAGAAGGGGTTTGGCTGAGTCTTGAGGGTGTGTCTTGACTCAGAGGGACACTGTGTCCCTTTAAGAGACCAGGAACATCCCCTTCCCTCAGACGACATCACCTGTGGCTTTATTCTCTTTTCTCTAGATGGTCCACACGTCCCCAGCATTTTGTCTCCATTCACCTATTACCATATAGGAGAAAACCTCTACTTGACCTGCTTCGCGGACTCTAACCCACCAGCAGAGTATTCTTGGACGATTAATGGGAAGTTTGTGCAATCAGGACAAGAGCTCTCAATCCCCAAAGTTACTGAAAAGCATAGCGGGCTCTATGGTTGCTCTGCTCGTAACTCAGTCACTGACAGCGAACGTTCCACATTCAAGAGGATCCAAGTCTCTGGTAAGTGGATCCTTGCATCATTGGCAATAGGGTTTTAGGTGGAATCTATCAGGATTTCAGAGAAGAGTCAGGAAAACATTTTTATTCCCAGCCTGTGTCCCATGGGCAGAAGAAAATCCTAAATTCTCCTCCTGAACCCTCTCAATGTGTCTCTATAGACTCTCTTCTCCTTGTTTCTCTGTTTTCTCATGGCTGACCTTGTGTCCAGTCTGAGAAATGTAGGGAGGGATTTTGTCAGCCCTGAGCCCTATGTGGTGGAAAAGACTTCACAGAGGGACAAGAGGAGAGCCCTCAAGGTCAAGTTGCTTCTCTCTGTCACCAACACATCCCTTTCTACGAGGTTTTTGTTGTCTTTTACCTACTCCATGAGCTACAACGAACATCTGAGGTTTCGAAACCAGCCCATATTTTTCCCCCAAATGAGAGGAGGAAGCACCTTGGATGAGAGAGGAGCAGCTCAGTCCGCTCCCTGATCTGCTCCGGGCTTCTCCGGTGACTGGCGCTGCCTGACTTCACCTGGGGTGGGTCCAGCATGTGTGGAGAAAGACCCCTGGTGGCCTGTCCTGAATTTGGCTGAATCGAGCTGCCAGTTGAAGTGAAGCCTAGGCTACAGGGAAATAAGAAGAGAGGGAGCTTCGGGGCAGACTCTTGAGCTGTGTCCTGGCTCTGAAGTCACCAGCTGTATGAGGTTGTGGGCACTGCACGTGGGACACAGCACAGAGGAGAGTGAGTGATGCATACTTGAAGAAATAGGGAGATTCACCTCTAGGGCTCTGGATGGCAGGAAAGGGGCAATGCCAAAAAGTGTGTATACTGTGTAAGACTACCAGGACACTTTTTATATATCTAATATAAGGGTTATCAATAACTATTTCTAAGTGTACAATTTAGTGTTGTGTAACCATCACACTATCCATTTCCAGAACTTTTTCCTTTTACCATATTAAATCTCTGTACCCAATAAGCAGTAACTCTCACTTCTTATACCCCTAACCCTTAGCACCCACCATTCTACTTTCTGTCTCTATGTAACTGGCTATTGTATCTTTTATAAATGGAATTATGTAATAATTATCCTTTTGTGTCTGGCTAATTTCGGTTAGCATAATGTCTTCAAGGTTCATACATTTTGAACGATGTCTTGGAATTTTATTCCTTTTTAAAGTTGAATAACATTTCGATGTATACATATACCTCATTTGCCTACCCACTTATCTTTCAATGGACTTTTCCATTGTTTCCATTTTTTGGCTATTGTGAGTAATGCTTCTCTGAACATCAATGTGCAAATATTTGTTAAAATTTCTTTCAATTCTATAGGGAGTATGTCCAGAAGTGGAATTGCTGGATCGAATAGTAATTTATTGTTTAATTTTTTGAGAAACAGCCACACCACTTTTTACAGTGGTTATAACATTTCCCATTCTCATCAGCAATGCACTAGAGCTCCAATTTTAACATCTATTTGAAAACACTTGTTGTTTTGTGTTGCTGTCGTTGTTGTTGTTTATCAAAGCCATCCAAGTGTGTGAGGGGGTGTAACATTATGGTTTTGATTTTGCATATCTCTAAGTATTTGTGACGCTGAGGAGCTTTGCATGGGCTAATTGAATATTTGCATATCTTCCTTGGAGAAAACTCTATTTTAATCCTTGGTTCATTTTTTAATTGGGTTTTGAATGTTTGCTAGTTTTTCA